ACTCTATAAACAGATCTATAATTTAATACAAAATATATATTATAAATAACTATTAAATTAAATACCTGCAGCTCCTAATTCGTCAGATTTTTTAATTTTTGTTAATGTTTCTAATACTTGCTCTTGAGTTTTTAATGTTGGTATTGAATACATTAGTGTTTTTATTTCATTAGAAATTGCTTTATTTCGAATATTACTTTAAAATAAATATATATTAGTAAAAAATAAGCTATTTATAAAATTATACATATATAATATTAATTAATTTACCGATTAAAATGAATTTGACATAATTTATATATATGTTGTAAATGTTCTTCACAGGATAAATAATTATATTTAGAATGAAGATATTGACCAAGACCTTTTAAAATAAATTAAAATTAATTATTTATAAAAACAATAATATAATATAATAATATATATGTATATATTTACCAAGTGCTTGACCTTGATGTTCATCAGCAATTAAACAACCTAATCCACTTCCATGAATATGTTGAAATTTAAATGGTATTTGTGTATCATTTTTAACAATAGTAAATAAATCTTCAAATAAATGCTGATATGCATTTGCTGATTGAACATTTGTAAAAACCCGTGCAAAAACTAATGCTAAAAAATTTTTTTAATAGTTAGTATATTATTTATTAATTTTATAATTATTAAATAAAATATTACTTACTTTTTTGATAACGATTTATATATGCACAAATTTCCCATTCATTTGTAGTACCGTGAATTCGTTTAAAAGCCATATCAATTTCTGCATATAATGTTTGTGCAAATAATTCTGTTTGTTCTTTACGTGTACATAATACTAAATAGTGCCCATTATCAAAAAATCCTAAATAAAATTTAATTATATTTTAAATTAATAAATAAATAAATAATAAATATAGCAGTAAATATATATTATTTCTTACTAGCAGTTCGAATATATGGATCTGATAAATTTTTTTGTTTTAATAACTCATATGTAACTCCTAAAATATAAATTAATTATTAATTATAAAATTATATTTATATTTATAATTATAATAAATAAAATATACCAATAATATCTTGTCCAAATGGATATCTTGATCATTTATTTTTTTCAATTAAATAATTAAGCCGTGATTGATTATTTAATGATGGATGAATACTACTTAGTGGTTTTCCTTGAAGATATATCTTTAACATTGGTTCTAATTATAATAAATTATTGTTAATTTTAATATTAAAAATTTAAAATATAGTATATTTATATAAATTTACTTACTTGTAAGAAGTTTATGTGCAGTAAGATCAAGATTATCTTCATTATTAATAATTGATTGTAAATTTTCAATTATATTTTGTGGAGTTTTTACAGGAGGTGGAGGTGGATGATTGTGAATACCAACAGAAATTACTACAATAAATGGGCATTCAGATAAATCTTTAGGTAAGATATGATAAAATTTTACAGGACAACTTTCTTTATTAATTATTTTTCCTTTTATAATTTGAGTATCAGTTTTGTGAAGAAATGCTAAATAATAAAATAATAAATTAATTTTAGGAATAGATATATTAAAATATAAAATATAATTATTATTTTACTTACAACAATAACTTGTCATAGAAGAATTTGGAAGAACTGTAAAACATTTATTGATAACTTTATTTCAGTTCTATTAAATTTTTAAGTATTAAATTAATATTTATAATTAATAAAATAAAATAATTAAAATAATATATACCTTTTCATTTATTCCATTAGGACAATATACATAATTTT